GAAGATATTCAATTCATTCAATTTGCTCTGGATTCTGCTAAACACAATACGTTTGCTTATCTCTCGCACATCATAACAGTGTAATGTTCAGTTTGTTTGTTTTTTATATTTTATCTTGCTATGATATAACGATAGCAAAATGAGACAGACTTATATCATATATAAATGTAAATATTTCAGTGATCTGCCAGCATCATTAAAGCCGTAGTGGTCAAAATTAAATCTAGTAACATGTGACAAATGGAATCAAGTTGAATCTTTTGTTGCTTTCAACTATGCAACACCGACAGTTTAACCCTTAAATGCATAGTGTATCCATATGGCAACATACCTATGTATGTCTTTAAACATGGTGAAACAACATATTAATAGTAAGCGCAATATATATCATGAAATTAAATATGAAATTCTGAGCCTAATTGAGTTTGCTGAACCAGGAATATTATTTCTTCATAAATTTCAACCAATATCCCCATATAAATTTGAAATCAAAAGCTCCAGCTCGTGTTAAATCCGAATGAGCTGAAATTTTCAGAGAGTTGTTTTCTCACCTAATGGCTCAAATCTAGGGGTTGACCCGTTGAAATAATGATAAAAAATTTCCCTCATATAAATGTGGGTCAGTCTACTGAGCATGGAAGTATAGTGCTCCTCGTATTTTGTAGGTACGGCCATTTCAATTTACAAACTTTCAAACATCTAGATTTCAATGATGCGCAAAATGAGATCTAATTTCCGTCATATATATTAAGTACAATTTGTATAAAAATAGTGTACTTCCAAATTCCAAATACGAGTGTCAATTTCATACGAGCAAAGTTTAAACGTCATTGGATTTTTTTTACGTCCGAAGCCTGACAATATGGATTTGCCTGGAGTGCTTATTTTTAATCTTTTTTTTTTTAGAAAATTAGTATAAGTATTCCAACTATTTATGCTACTCCTAGACTTTAAACAAAAAGGTGTTCGATTCTGGAAACATCACCCTCCAGTTTGATTCATAACCCTAAAATATGGGCCATTGCAAAAAATAGTAAAGATTTATGAAGATTTAGGCACAGACAAACAGACGTAACTCTTTGAAAAACTTGTTCATGAAAACATAGTATCTCAAAACATATAACCTCAGTAGCGACATCTATCTGGCTTCTCGCGGAAAACAAGCTTGCTCGCTAACTCGTAAACAATATTGCATAAAAGTTCTATAGAATATATAGAAACGACAAAGTGATCCGATGCCAGCGCTGCGGCGAGTAGTTCGCGGAACTGATAATATTCAAATCAACCGTTAAATGCATGAACGAAGATACACAATGAAGAGTTACGTCTGTTTGTCTGTGATTTAGGTGTCACGAAAAAGGTATGAACTTAGATTGGAAATAACGGCCAATTAGTTACTACGGAGCAGGTCCACACGAAATAGGTAAATGACCAGAGCCGTACTCAGGATTTTTCTATAGGTGGGAAACTCTCAGTTTTGTGCCCCTCCTCCAGGCTCCTCCACTTTAACGATGCCCTAGCCACATTCCATAAGAGTAGAATAGAAATCACAACAAATTCTCACTATTATACCTGTTTACTCTGACATAAATAAAGCGGGAGTTATTCTGTTCAGGGATTCAAGGTGCATATACATGTCGTCCCCGTTACTTTTAAAATTTCCGATCTATAAAACAAGGTGATCCCAGAATTTAAGTGACCTTCGTAGATGTCAAGAGAAATTTGTAAAAGATAAGAGAACTTCATTTTATTCCTCAGAACTTCATAGAAACTCAGAGAACTTCTTGAAAGTAAAAGGAACGTTGTCGAATTTCAAGGAACTTCGTAGATCTTCTAGATTAAAATCTTCGTAAACATTCATTGAACTGTGCAGATGGACAGGAAACTTTCTTGAAGAGTAACAAATTTTATAGAAATTCAGCTAACTTTGTTAAAGCTCTGCAAACTTTGTAGCAGTTTAGTGAACGTCAGAGAATTTTGTATAGTTTTGTGTAAGTTCAGCGAATTTTATAGAACTATTTAAAAATAAGCGAACTTTAGAAAAAATTAGCGAATTTCGCAGAAATTCGGGAAATTTCGTTAACGTTTAGAGTTTTTCTTTAACTACGTTTGATTTTTTAAATTTCAGGGACTATTTAGATATTCAGAGGACTTCAAAGAAATTCAGGAAATTTTATGCAAATTCAGGAAAATTTTAAGACCTCCAGAGAATTTTGAAAAATCTAGAGTGCTTCGTAAAAATTCGGGAAGACTATGTAGAACCGGGATCCTTATACATGTTTGAAAAACTTCATTGAAGTTATAGGAAGTATCATTTATTATAAAAAAAAACTTCATACAAGTTCTTCTTAACTTCAGGGCTGTTCTTAATACTTCTTAACTTTTGAATACTTAAAAAAGATTAAGAAATCTCTTTGAAATTCAAGAAACGTTGTTTAACCTCGGGAAACTTTGCAGAAAATCAACGAAACTCAAAAAAGTTCAGGGAACTTTGCAGGACTGTAGCAAACTTCATACGAATTCTGAGAACTTTGTTGAAGTCAAGCAAATTAAGTAGCAATTCGAGGAGCTTCGTAAAGCTTCATATACGTACTGGGATTTTCTTAACAAGTAACTTCGTAGGAGTTCAGCCAATTTTGGATGAAACTTTCAAGTCAAACCCTGAAATTCTAAGAAGTATGCTGAATTTCTACAATACTCCTTAAGCTTCTACGAATTTCAAACTTGTAGATGATCATTGAAATTCGTAGAAGTTCAGGAAATTTCGCAGAAGCTCAAGGAGTATTGTAGAAATTCAGCATACTTCTTAGAACTTCAGGGTTTGATTTTAAAGTTTAAGTGCCCAAATTCGTGGAAAAGGTTCAAAGTCTTTCTTGGTGTTTGGATGTTCTGAGATCATGGTTGAATTCAAAACTTATTTACTACTAACTCAAGGTATCTTCCAAATAAGCTTAAAAATTGCATTTTCTTTTATCAAATGTTAAATTCAGTCCTCTCTATCCTCACCTTTGTAGACCACTCAAAAAAATTCCATCGAGGTGAACAAATTAGTTTTTTCAGTGCTACAATAACTATTAAAAAGTCGTTATGTCAGCTATTTATACAAAATAATCCGTTAGAGATAAAATCTTTAAGATACATAGTCTGTCAATTCGTAAAAAAAATCACTATATTACTGTTAAAAAACCGCTTTAACGTGTAATGTATCTTAAATACTGATGGAAATGGTGCACGTTTAATTTATCTAGGCATCAACTGAAAACATTTATTCCTATGTCCATTTGACCATCAAAGAATCGATTAACTTTATTCGCTTTCTACAGCGGTGGATACATGCAATATTGATACATGCAATCAAAATTTTAAAAAATAGATTGCATCAAGTGGCGAATGGACATAGGACCTATTCTAAAATCAATCGAGCTTTATTTGGTTACGAGCAGGGTTGCTTCCACTCACTTGCTATAAAAAAATGATTTTCTGATTTTTGAAATCATTAGATGTTATAATGATATTTTGTACTTGTTAGATACAAGAAGATGTTGAAAGGCAAGTATCTGACGCATAAAACTTGTCAATTTCACTTCCAGAGTGTTACAATCAGCAATTTTATGATTTGTGAGCGTTCACTCAGAGTGAGCGCTCGCGAGTCGTAAAACCGCTGATTGTGACTATCTGAAAGCGAATTTGACAGGTTTTATGTGTCAAACACTTGCCTTTCAACCTCTTCTTGTATCTAACATGTACAAAATATCATTATAACATCTAATGATTTCAAAATTCAGAAAATCATTTTTTTATAGCAAGCGAGTGGAAGCAAGCCTGGTTACGAGGATTTCAGCGGGGCATTTTCAAAGTAAATAAACAATGATCATAAAATCCATGGAAACAGCGAACAAAAAGTGTCAAATTCACTGTCAACTAGACCAAAATCGGCGAGATTAAAATTTGATGCAAGAATCTGTCAAAATACATGGAACAGATAGGAATGGGTGAAACAGCTTAACAATCAACTAGCAAAAGCACAATGCGATTAATTTATTTTCTTTAAACATGCTCGCTCATCAAAACACTAATTGGTATTCGCATTAAAGAAAATCCCGTTCATTTGGATTCTAGCCACAATGTGAAAACAAATCGAATTGATTCTGATTGTTATGATACAACAGTTTCATCCTGCGTAGCCGTCATCGACTGTCCCAACACGTGCTTTTGGTTAGTACATATTTGTTGCGATCAACGCAGGTGATCAAAAACAAATGAAAAAATCTCAAAATTCAATTCTTAATTGCCCTCGTGAAAATCATGCCGCATTGAAGGAGAGTTAACAATATTAATTAATATATTAACTACATATTCGATAAATCGGAAATTTAATAAAATGAATAGTCAAGAATGAAAATCCCAAACGTTCAATACAGTCAACATACCGTTTCTTCACCGGAAGGTAATGACAGCACTGAGTCATCACTCAAACAGATTTGACGAGGTTTTCCAAATATGTGTCGATAAATGACGACATAAGCAAAATTGCCACGACTATGCATTGTTTACCTAAAAATTAGCTTCTTCTTATACTTTATGATAGTGTGAAAACCAGTCATCGTTCCACGGTCTCAACGGAAATGAATCTATTTGCGATACTGTTACATCGACACGCAATTCATACACAATGTAATGTTCATGCTTTTCCTTTATTTTTTAAATCTTAACTTAATGAACTCATGCTGTGGGATTTTTTTCCCCCATTGGGGCGCTACAATCACCCCGACCTATAGGAACTGACTCATGACGCACTGCCATTTGTGTTCATTATTTCTCCAACACATTTGATTGATTATGCATTCAACAACTGGATCGAATCAACTGAGTGCAATCGCTCTGAAAGATGGCCAATAAATTTATTTTAGAATTTATGGGATTTTTCTCGAAATGATTAACTAACATTCATAGCAATTTTGATCATAAATCGAAGTAATAAATTCTCGTTCCTCTTTTAGGACCTTGGAAAAGGAAACATTTTTTGAAAAGTTCGGTACGGTTTTCAAACAACGGTCCACACATTTCCTTCTACAATCGAAGAATGATGTTACACTGCAGGATGAGTCTGATGCAACTCAGGAGTTGATCGTCAATAACGCCAAACCACAAATCAATCCATCAGCAGTTATTATAAGTAACGGTGTACAAAATTTTTCGCCAGTGGATTTCTCGATCGATGTGCAGTACGATGAAGACGCAGTAAGTATAGATCCGTTGCCCGCTGGTAAAAGATTTTCTTTGTTTAGGCATGCCTGGGTGCAACAAGTAAATTACATTAAATGCATCATCCTGATTAGAACCTATCCAAAGTAGATCGTTCAAGAGTTGTGTAACAATATTTATAGCCGCGAACGGCTCAACAAATGGTTCATTACGTGGCGTTCGCATGATGAGTTAAAAATAAATTCTCGCTTTAATGGATTTCCTATCGATAGGCAGTAGGCCATGCCATTTCTCTGCTTCCACTTGGTCTACTAAATGGTGACTGCGATGAGTGAAAGTGTTTTTCAACGGATGGGTTTTCCTCAGCCGTCGCATCACCTCTCGAACAAAGCATGTCAAGCTAAAGAAAAGCAGAAACTGCCACTTTGGAAAGCAAATTAACACTTCAGCGCCGTCCTGTATGATTTATGGCTGTTCTATCGAGCTCGGGAAAATGAGATAAACATTTGAGAAATTGAAATTCAAATTGTTTACATACCACTTGTTCGTGAAGTTAATTACAGGCAAAGTAGCTTATCATCTGGATAGAGTTGGCCAATTGGTATGCGATTATTAGTTGGTGATTTTTTGTTTACAAAGTTGCCACTTAAATTTCGTTAGCGGTAGACCTGATTTCAGTCAAGCGTATTCGCAAAGCATCTAACGAACAAGCCTATATAAAATGATTTTTCTGTTCGGGGTACTGATTGAAGTTGTTATACATGCAAAAGTAAGGTTTGAGTTAGAAATTGACGGACACAGAATTGTCAAACATTTTTGAGTTTTCTTGTATGTGATTGATAGTGTGCCATTCATGTATGTTACAATTTAGTATTCTTATGCTTCTTACAGTCCGGTTCGAGGTCCAAAGGGCCGAGTGTCGTATAAATTGACTCAGCTCGACGAGATCGGAAAATGTCTGTGAGTGTTTTTGGCAAGGAGGATACCTTCAAAAAGGCCATAATGCCACTGCTTGACGACCGGGTGCACGGTCGCGGTGACATGGTGTGTGGGATTCTTACCGTACTAAAACCTTGCCTTGCCCTTTTCCTCCGGAACCACTTGTCGTATTACTTCTGAGGGGCTGTGCTTTACGCACCTCACTTTACCTCAGCTAACTGGCGCTTCCATTTCGCTGATCGTCTTTCCAATTTGTGAGCCATTTAGTTCCCAGCGTAATGTTTTACTCGGCTAACTCCCGGTGGATTCACCCTACTCCGACGGAGAGTTCTTCGGCTTTCACTTCGCACTTGTGTGAGCACATTACTACTTTCTAGCTGGTCCTCTCGCCATTTTCGCTGCAGCGCTGACATGCGTTACTGCTCTGGTGACGGCGTTAAAGGTGCCCTCCTCTCGACACATTTCTTCGACGACATTCGCCGTGCTAAGGGCGAGCATCTCCTCTCACACAGCATCAAATCTAGGAGATTCGAAGACCACGTGCTTTGGTGATTCTTCAACATTCCCACACTCCGGACAGAAGGGTGACGTTGTGTGTCCGAACCGATGCAGGTACTTCCTGAAGCAGCCATGACCAAACAGGAACTGCGTCAAGTGGAAGTTGACTTATCCATGCTTCCTGTTCACCCAGGGTGAAAGAATCGGTATTAGCCTGTGTGTCCATCTACCGTTCTCTGTTGCATCCCACTCCTGCTGCCACTTAGCCATCGACCCCGTTCTCACAATTTTTCGTACTCCCCTGATTTCTCTCGTCATATAGCACTCGCCAAGGGGATGCCGATTGGGATCATACCGGCGATAACGCATACTGCCTCCATCGAAATGGTTCTGTAGGCACTCACGACTCGCTTGGCCATGAGCCGGAACGTACTGCTCAATTTCCTTTGGTTCTGCTTCGTTTTCATCACTTCAATCCAGGTTGGACCTCCGTACCTTAGTATCGATGAGGACACACTAGCCAGAAGATGCCTCTTGCTGCTGCTTAGACCAGAATTTTTCAGCATGATTCTGGCTATTGCGTTGATGACCTTTGCCGCCTTCTCGCAAGCATATTCGATGTGGCTGTTGAAGCTTAGCCGGTCGTCGATCATCACTCCAAGATATTTCAGCACGCGCTTCGAAACAATGGTGTGCTCTCCAACGGTGATTTCTGCCCGCTGCACTGCTTTGCAGTTACTGACCAACATCACTTCTGTTTTGTGGTGGGCTATCTGCAGCTTCGCTCCTTGTATCCAGTTACCAATCGTATCTATTGCCTCGGCCGCCAGCATTTCCACTTCTTCCAGGGTCTCACCGGTTACCGTCAAGACGACATCGTTTGCAAAGCCAACGATCTCAACTCCTTCGGGCAGCTTGTGCGTCAGCATGCCATTGTACATTCCGTTCCACAGCGTGGGACCTAGAATGGAGCCTTATGGAACTCCCGCCGTGATTCTAAGCGATTTCTGCCCCGCGTCTGTCACGTAGACCAGGACCCGATTCTGGAAGTAACTACTTAAAATCCTGCAGAGGTAGTCTGGAACCCTCATTCTATGGAGCGCGTTGGCGATGGCCTCCCAGCCGGCGCTATTGAATGCATTCTTCACATCAATCGTAATCACGGCGCAGTATCGATTTCCTCTCCACTTCTGTTTGGAAGCTTTCTCTGCTCTGTCAATCACTGTCCGAATTGCATCCACCGTCGATCTTCCTTTCCGGAATCCAAACTGTCTCTCCGACAATCCGTGTTCACTCTCCGTGCATTTCGTCAGCCTGTTCAGGTTGATCCTCTCCAAGAGCTTTCCGACAGTATCCAACAAGTATATTGGCCTATACGATGCAGGATCCCCCCACGGGTTTTCCGGGCTTCGGCAACAGCACAAGCTTTTGTACCTTCCACCTATCAGGGAACTGACCCTCGTCCAGACATTTCTGCAGCACAATCTTGAACATGTCCGAGAACGTCTGGATTGCCGCTTTCAACGCCACGTTGGGAATTTCATCAGGGCCGGGAACATTATTCGCCTTCAACCCTTTCGCTGCTGCTATAAGTTCCTCGTTGGAGACTTGTTCAACGTTGTCTTCATCTTCCTCGCCATATGGTGTAGGTGGCTCATGCTGTGGGAAAAGTCCCTCCACGATGACTTTCAGCTTGTTGGGGCACATTTAAACCGGCATCGTTGGACCTCTGATCTTCGCCATCGCGACTCGGTATGCGTTGCCCCAGAGGTCGGTATCTCGGCACAGCTCCTTGAAACTGTTTGACTTGCTCAGCTTTGTCTCTCTTTTTAGTGCAGCTTTGGCCGCTCGGAACAGCACCCTGCGCTCCTCTCTGCCTGCTTCAGTTCTTGCTCTCTGAACGCGCCTTCTGGCTAGAAGACAACTAGCACGGAGGGTGCTAATTTCCTCGTACCACCAGTAAGCTGGACGCCACCTATTCGTTGGCTCCAGTTTTCTCGGCATAGTTGTGTCACATGCCCTTGCTAATGATTCGGTCAACTCATTCGCTCTTAGGCCTGGGACGCTGCTGTCTACCCTTAGAGCTTCGTTGAAGAGATTGTTGAATGCCTTCGTCTTCCACTTCCGCTCGCTTACTTTCGTCTTCCGCATTTCCACCGCGTTCGCCGATACTGTACAGGATCGGTTGATGGTCACTATGGGTGTACTCTACGCACACTCTCCAGTTCATACTTGCCACTAGTGACGTACTGCAGAAAGTAACGTCGATAATGGATTCCCTACCATCTTTGCGGAAGGTGCTGATGATTCCTAAATTGACCAGACTGACGTTCAACTTTGCCAGAGCTTTCAGCAGGCTATACCCTCTTGCGTTGGTACATCTGCTCCCCCAATGCACATGACGACTGGTCTCCGTCCAATGAGCTCTCCGGTGAGCCCATCTAGCATCTAGTGGTTGTCCATCTCGGGGGTGCGTAGCAGCTACTTACCATAAAACTACCGGGTATTTTCAGAGTTGAATTTAACAGATTTGCTGAGTTTCTGACAGGGTTGTGAAATTACTTGTTGTCTATCAAAAATAATCGCAACTGGATTGCAGAATTATTCAATAGCTTTCAATAACATTTTCGAGCCCGGTGTTAAATTAAGTTCGGCAATTGATATACAGTCAAAGCATAGAGTTTCCATGAAGAGGGCTATTCTAACTGGGTCGTATTCTCGCATATACTCTGCTAGCGCCTTAAATCTATTACATGATCGGTTTTGGTTCAAGTCAGGATCTTTCCTCCAATCTAATGTGACAAAAGGGGGCGACCCCGGCGTAGAGGTTAGCATCCATACCTCTCACGCTAAAGTCACGAGTTCAAATCTCACCCCCGCACAAGTCACGAATGACCCAAGAGCGTTAAAGCGACTATAATAAAAAAAAAATATTGTGACAAAGCATTATTTAAAGGAGTTAAACCCAGCTTTCCATTGATTGATTTAATTTTGTTTCATTTACGACAGCTTGGAGACCTCTACGAGAAGGTACTTTTCGAGATTATCAACGGTAATATACAGGAAGTCACGGAAAAGATTCTCTTTTCCTACGCCCAAGACGTGTTCAAAATGAACGAAAAAACTCATGAAGAAATTCTGAAACGGGCTCAATTCAAACCAATGTCTGAAGCATACCTTCGAGTAGAACTGGTCGAGGCCAAGCTGAATGAACGATCCAGCGTCGAGGGAGCACTTAATCCGTTTGTGGTTATGTACCTGCAGACGGATCTATTAAATAAGGAGCGAAGTACGATCCGCAAGGAAACGCATAATCCAGTGTGGAAAGAATGCTTTACTATGTGAGTAGCGATGATGTATATAACTATGTATGTCAATATAAATAATGTTTTATATATAAATCAATTTAGACCAACGGTGGAGAAAAGTCAAGAAAATTTGATTGTGGAGGTTTTCCATTACAATTACAACATTAACAAGGTTCAGAAAACTATTCGAATATGTAAAAAGTATGCATATAGCTGCCTTAGACCAAAGGCTTCGTATCAGAAATTGATTGGACGGGCAAGCATTGCCATCGAGGTAATAAATAGCATGAAATTTCAATTAACTTGACGCTTATATGATATTGCATTTCCAGACAATTACTTCATCCGGTTTAGTAACATGGTGCACGTTAAGTAAGAGCAAGCGAACCGATCCACAAGGAACGGTGAAGCTAAGATTCCATTTCAGTTCCGGCAAAGACAAAGACAAATCCAGACGAGATCATGAAATGCTCACCAAAATGTTTCTCGAATATGAGCTCAACAGTTCCAGCGTAGCACGATACTGGTGGTCGGGGAAGTTTACTTCTCCTGGAGAAGCGATTCTCAAGCAACATGCCATCTGTGCCGATCTGAGTGACAGCGAAAAGGTGCTTATCTATTGGAATGCTTACACCACGGTTCACATAACCTACCCGATCGCATTTAGTCTGTTTGAGAGCCTGTTGAACAAAATTTGCGCGTCTGTCAGCAATAACCTGATTGAAAAAGATGATCTGAAGAGATTCTGGTTAGGTGTTAAGAAAATACTGCCCTCGTGCTTCGCTGTGATAATTAAATTAAGGAAACGCATTGCCGGCGATAATGATATTGTCAAGACTGTGACTTCGGTGCTCAACATTCTGGCAAAGTTGGAGGGCATCCGAAGTAATTGTGATATAGATTTATTTTCTCCGGATGAATATGAGTAAGTATCGAATCAAGATCAACAGTTATAAACTTTATGTTCTGATATTTAAGAAACACTGTACATTTCTGAGTTTTTGTGATTTTTGAAGTTATATTAAGTCAAAAGTCACTGAATATGCTTCTAAGCTGTTTGAATTTTCTTCAATTCTGACATAATCAAAACGTACATAAAATTTATACAGCTTTTATACAATCGAAAAACAATATTAAAATAGCCGTATACAACTTTAAATACCCCCCCAACAGGTACTTAAAACACAAAATTGAACAAAATCCCAAGCTTCCAATCCCAGAAGTTACGCTTTTGGCTGTTCGGACTGGAGCTCGAAATTGGTTCGACCAAATCATGAAAGATACAATGAAAGCGAATCTCTCGAATGAAGAAAAATTACAGCATTCCATCAAGATGATTCAGTTGCTGCTTAGTGACATCAAGCGTTCTTCCACGTATTACAACATCAAATTCAAAAGGTGACTTATTGTTTATTTTGGATTAGGACAACTGCGTAACATTTAACATACCTTCTTATCTTATTGCAGCATTATGAAGATTGATTATACTCGTGAAATTTGCAAACAACACGAAGCTAGTCTTGTCACTCATATTAAACACATCGTGGAAACTATTTGCAAGGGTTTTAAGAAGCTTACTATCCGGATGGATCAACACAACAGATTCGGAGAAATGAATGCATTAGATATGAGCACAACGCTTTTCCATCTCTACATTGTGATAAGACTTTTCCTCGAGGAAACGGACAAAGAACTCAAAAGTGCTCACAATTCGGACATTGTGAATTTCCACGAGTGGTTCAGTAATGGTATTATCCATTGGTGTGATGTCTTCGCTCTCAAGGCTCTGTCAAGCTTGAGTCACGCAATCGACAATGACAAGCTAGAACCGGAAACGGGGATTGAACCGAAACAATCTTCATCCGCAGCCAAATTTTTGGCTATCGTGCGAGAAATGGAAAATTTTTGGGAGGAACTAGCATGGCCGGACCCGAATACACTGAATCGTTTCTTGAAAAGAAGTATAGGGGTAAGTAGTCTGAATTAAGACACAAAATTTCGATCAATTTCTTAGCATTTCTCACCTAGATGTACCAAAGGGCTATGATATCACTTTTTCAATACAAACACCTAAAAATGTTCCGGTTCTGCTCTCCGGAAACTTGACTGAAGCATGTTGAAAAGTAATTTTTGACACCGTAAACCACCATAATTCTACGCATTAGGAACATAACGAAAGATTTGTGTCAATAAAATGCTTACCTGTCAAATTCATTACGAGTTCAATTGTTTATTGTTTCGAAATGAGTGTTGCATAAATTTAACCAATGTTGTTGTTTTTTCCTTGATTTGTTTTCCGTCGATCTTGTTTTCCGGGCTGAGCTCCAATGCTACCCACGCCACCCAAGTAACATTTTAAGTTTTATGAAATACTACAAAGCTACTATAAAACAACATTCATAAAACCCTGGTCAAGACTGCTTTGCCATTGATGCATCCAGCAAAACCTCATCGATGCTAGAATCTGTCTATTTGGCCCACTCTGGAGAAGGTTCTTAAGGGTATATTTTCGAAGCTCTTCAAGATTGATCTACTGCAAAATGGTTGTACAATAAACGCATTGAGATCCATTTCAAAACCGTATTTAAGCTACAATAAAAGATATTTGGCAACAATTAAAACCATTATCCGAGCCATTTACCCTAGCTGCTTGCTAAGTTTACTAGAAAAACAACAATCAAGATAAAAAACGATTCATAAATACCATCCGATCTTATCAAAATAATTAAAATAAAAACTGCCGAATTTCCCAAATTATAAAATAGTTCTCATGAAGTGGCCTAGTTTTATGTACCGTATAAAGTTTTATGTGAAATGTACGTGAAAACCTCGAAAAACTTGAGTCCGTCCACGGAAAACATCGATTTAACTAATTATTTAACATTAAGAAATAAAAATATATTTTTGCGATTCAGCGCTGGGGGGGGGGGGGGGGACGTACTGTCAAATCAACCTACTGATCATACTTGTATGAAACTGGTTCCAAACGTAAACAAACGGTGTAGGTTTCTTTTGGCTTGTTTACGTTTGGAACCAGTTATGCGAGGTAGGCGACGATTGTTCGTATTTGACAGCCAGCTCCCCCCTTGATTCAGCGCTCTTCCAGGCGATTCTTTCCCGATGTCTTGGAAGCAGTTACTCAGAATGTGTTCACAACATTTCGCATTTCGCACATCTGTAACCTCGATCATTCCCGAAAAGATCCCCTTCTTCCGGATGGTTCTGGAAGTGCACCATCAAACGATGCAGGAATGTACATATGAATGATTTTTTTCCAAGTGATGACTCTTTCACCGAATAAAATTGCAGCTATGGATCGGAAACCAACGGTGTTGTGAACACTTCCGCTAACTGACAGTTTCAGTGGTTTTCTGTTGGTACTGACGCAAGTTATTCCGATCTTCATCTATTCGCAAGGTCTGGAGTAGGCTGTTTTCAGACTGTTTTGACACCAGATGCTCAGTCGTTGATGGTACCCGTTCCGCCGGACGTGCTGGTTCTTCTAAAGAACTAATTTTTTACTGAAATCGACTTTCCTTCGGTCGTTAGCATCGCTTGAATTTTTCCTCCAACTTCGTTTATGCTTCGAGATATCCTTGTCATAAATTTGGTTTTTATTCACTATGAGGATCCATCCTTAAAGTTCAATTTGTAAACAGAGGAGATTTTATGATACAAAAGTGTAAAAGCCTTGAAGGCAACAATATACGCATTTTACTCTCATTTAAAACCAAATGGTTTTATGATTGCTTTAATAATGATAGAACAGGTTTATAGAGTATTTTATCAAGACATTAATAAAAAAAATACTAATGAAGTTTATGATTGATTTTTAGAACAGTTTTATGGTGGGATTGAAAACTACTTTAAATTTAATTTTAAAACAAGACAGTTTTTGACTTCTCGCCAGAATGTAAAAGGTTTTTAAAACCTTTAAACTGTATTTAAACTAAATAAATTATTCATTACCATTATAAAACCATCATAAATCAGAGTGGATGCCAAATGATTGCAGAATTGTTACTTGAGCAGGGAGGCAGCTCCCACATCTGGACCCTACCTATCGACTCATCAACTCATGAACCGGGGACCAACGGCTTTACTTCCCCTGTCCGGGGACCAACGAAGGAAGGCGTGATCGGAGATGTTATGCCTCAGAACATCCCGGCGGCGCCGACTGGGATTGAACACAGGCCTGCTGGAGTGAGAGGTAATCACGCTTACCACTACACTACCTGCGCCGCTGTTTTGTTTTTTGTAGAGAAAAAAATTTGCAAATGCGCGTAGCAAACAAAAAAGTGTTTTCGTTTCAAAAGCGTGATTATTTTTGAAATATGCTGCGCTCCTTTATGGAAAGGTGTGTTTAAAGGATTTGAACAATAATTTGAATTGAAACATGCATATAAAGTGAATTACAATAGAAAATCTCATGCGCGGAAAAGGGATTTTTTTTAGCTAGCCGAATTCCGTGGGCTGCATTTCAGAATGCCGTCATTTAAATAATAAAGATTGAGGTTGTATGAGGTTGTACTCAAGACACGACCGTAAATTTGACGTAGGATTACAAGATCTGTATCAATATTCGGCGACTGTGTTAGGGAAACCACACGCCTTTGATGAAAAATCTACGCATGCACAAAACGCACGGAATTTTTGGTTTATTTAATAGATAATAAAAAAGACAAAAAATAATTGGAAGAACTTCTTGCTAAAATTTTCCATTCGCGTTCAACAATGTAAATTCAAGATTTTTTTCTTTTTTCTAGCGTCTTGGAGAAAACCTTACCTTAATTCGAAATGTTTCTGGTTAATTGACAAGGTCATGCGGTATTTGGTTATTGTACCACTTCAAAACCGTTCGGTGAGACCAGATGGAATTTAATTTTGAAATCTGTGTTAGGGAAAACGCTTTTCGCAGGCAATCGGTAATAATTTAACTTATCATAGCAACAGTTGCACATTTTTGTAATTTTCAATAGTGACATTTTGAAAAATGGTAAAGTCTTAAACTTTACAGATTCGTAGAAAAATTTCCTATCGATTGGCATATTAAGAATTAAAATCCATCATCACAACCACTTTCATGCCGCGACCGACTTTGGTTTTTGAAATTGCATTCAAAATACATGGTATGTTAGATTGAGAAATGTCCAGAAATTACTCTAAAAAATTTATGGTGGTCCAGAAAAGGACCGTTTAGTCGTGATGGTTGACTAATGCTAAGCTATTAGGGTGTTCAACACAGATGAGGCTGGTGAGCTGTATGTTGTTAGGAACGCATAGCTGTATGTATTGTATGTTGGCATAGATGATCCACAGCGACTAATCAAGAGCTACTGATTCCGATCAGAGCGGTGCGGCTTCTTCCTCCATCTTCGATGAATGGACGCTCATGTGGGCTGCAGCTCGCTGTGTACTGGAGAACAATATTCAACGCCACGCGTCGAAATCACTTTTTCTTAATCTAGAATCATGAAAAATTTTATAATGCACAAATCTCGAATATATGTCGTAGTTTAAGACTCGAAACAAATATCGAAATCAATCTAGGACATTTACTTAAAACATCAGGAAAGCTTCAAAAGCCTGGCCTGTAGTGTATTTGGTATTGTGTGGTATCTACTAGTTGCCTGGTGCAGTTCCACTAAAACTCTTAGTGCTAGCTAGCGTTGCTAGATTGCTGCTCATCTCTCCATTTACGCTGCAGCACCGACATAATCTGCGTGACTGATATGTTGTCGAAATTCCAAGTGCTCTCCTCTCGACACATTTAATCGACGACATTATCCACGTTAAGGACTGGCATCTCCCTTCGCACTGTCTCGAACCTTGGACATTCGAAGACCACGTGCTCCGGCGTTTCATCGACATTGCCACACTCCGGACAGAGCGGCCTCTCACAACTTTCCGTACTCTTCCGGCTTCTCACCGCCTGTGGCACTCGCTGTCCTCAACCAGGGCGATGCCGATAAGGATCATTCCGGCGATAACGCATACTGCTTCGGACGACATGGTTCTGTACGTCCTCATGACTCGCATGGCCATGAGCCGGAACGTACTGATCAGTTTCCTTTGGTTCTGCTTGGTTTTCAGCACTGCAAACCAGGCTGGACCTCCATGCCTCAGTATCGACGACGACGACGCCCTCAAACCATGAAAACCATTAAAAACAAATACATTCGATGTTTTTCAATACAATATAATTTTTCCTACCTTTCATTTGATATTTTGATCTTTCAGTTGTTAAAAAGTCATTAATTTAAAATTATGCACTGTCATTAATTACAATAAAATGTTAATTCAAGCGTAGAAGAGAGATTTAAACTAACCTCTATCAAACATCCCCAGGACATCTGCAGCTGCTGCATCTACTACGCTGATCGCATATCGACCAAATTGCATCACCCAGAGAACAACCGGAAACATGCAGATCTTCCAGCTACGCTTGACCTGATGAGGAAATGTGCATTGGTCAACTCTAACTTGTCGATACTGATCGATGTACTGACTTCCTTGCCCGATGTGCTCGGGTACCAACAAGTGGACCTCAATGCCAACGAAGCCTCGGAGCAGATGCTTCCCATCAAGGGTCTGAGCAGTTGGAAGACTAAAACGTTAAATCTCCTGACGGATCACTGCATGTCGGCCATCAAAATTAGTATGCGTGATTCGCTGGTTAAGTTTGATCCGATAAGACGAGACGTGGAAAATTTCACTGCACAATCCGCGGCTGTGATCAGAGAAGACCTGCATGGTGATGATATGAAGCTAGTGGAGAACTCCTTATGGAGCCAACTAACGGCGGAGTTTGAGAAAACGATGAATACGTTGATTGGGGTAAGTCATATCTAATTAGGTACAGTTATTATATTTTTTAATTTCTTTGCATTTATCAGACAAAAACACCGATACAAACGTTTTCAAACCTGAAGGACTTTTATGAAACGATACCGGAATCGCAGCAGCTTCAGAATGACATAGAACTGCGGGAAAAATTGTTTTCCCTCGAGAAACAAATGAGGTTGTACAGTAGCAGTACTCGTGATTTAATACACCATTACTATCTTGCTTGCATGGATGCCCAGGCACTTCTTGACGAACCGGACCGGGGAATACTCACCGTGAGATGTTGCATTCGCAACGATAATCTGGAAATTCAAATAATTTCCGCTGAAAGTATAAAACTCCCGCCGGACTATAAAGGCAATTGTGATTCTTATGTTAAAATTAACCTTGTGCCCGGCTATAAGTACTCCAATCTCCAGATGCCCAAAACGCGATCCAAGTCCAAAAATCACTCGCCTACGTACAATGAGAAGTTCACACTGTAAGTAGCACTCTGGTTGTTTAGCACTATCTATTCAATATATTCAACATTTGTTTAGAAGTCTAGGGATGTTTTAGCAATGAATCTCATTAAATTTAATTTAGACGGATGAATCTTTAAAAAAAAAAACATGGGAAATTCCTTAAAATATTCACCCAGTTTTTCAATCGAATGCCTGTGAGCACTCATTACTCATAAGAAGGATACTTTCATTTTGCGATTATGGTAGGCTTTATACCTAACAGTCAGTAAAGTGATCGATCAGAAAAATCTGAAGATGAAGTGAGTTCTTTAATTTTGATAAATTTGCACGTTATCTGAAAGAGATTCATTTTCTAAGCACAATATGTTTTGTTCGATACGGCTTTTTAATTGACAGCGTAGCCCATACTATAGAACCGCCACGGATCGCTAAGTCTGTTTGGTAGGGGTGAATGTTCAAGAATGTTTTATTACATATTACTTACAATACTTCTTCAAGTCAACATCCCAGCCTTGCTTCTTCAAGTCGACATCACAGCCCATTACGAAAATGAAACTGATCAGCTAAATCGAATTCGTTCAGGTGATTCCCTGAAGCGTCCTTTTTCGTGTTACACTTCGCAATTTCACATGTAAAAATAATAAGATTTCTGTGAATGCACATAGCTGAAACTACTACTTGTTGTTCGCTGCGTAGAAGCAAGCTATGTTTGAAATTTGCAGATGTATAAACCTCGTAGGTCTTGAGTTGTGTGCTCTTGAAATTGCAAGGCATGATCGAAAAATGGTCTCTGCAAGGAAACACCTTAAGGTGCTTGCCCCATAGTGATAGGCTGCCAAAGCGAGTACGAAAATGAACTATAGTGGTGATAGCAGGTATATATCCTTGCCTCACACCAGCGACGACCCTAATAAGGTCGTACAAGGCTCCGTTACGCAGAACTCTACACGCAAATGCGTTGAAGACATCAGACCTTAGATTTAAGAAGATTCTTCAAATTTTAAACTCCCAAGCAGTGATACAAAATTTCAACAATACACGATGAATTCAGAATTCTACTTTGGTCACTCATTTGAGCTAACGATCATCGTCAAGGCAAACCATACCAATTGTCAGTGACAATGCTGTCAGTGACGAACATGTGTAGATTTTTTTATTAACTAAATGTGTAACGAAATTAATTGACTTTAGCAAAACAATTACATGGAGCCGTTAAAATGCAACCTGGTCTATAAAAGGTGTGGAATTGTAGGCCTGAATGTATTGGTGCACTTCGTTTTTCATTCGGCTTTCATTCCGCTTCGCACGATTCGTTTCCTTCGGTCACTCAATCACCCTTGTAGTGACGTAATAACGTTTGTTTCGATCGGCGCTTGCATAGGAAATTTAATATGGATTTTATAATTTATTTAGACTACCAAAATTTATGAATGGTCTGCTACTAAATGTTAAGATAATTTATTAATTTATCACACTGTATACCATGAAAAAGCAGTCTGTTTGTGAGTTTTTGCCTGTTTTCAAGTAAGGAGTTATCTAAAAAAACCAAATCGCCAGCTGATATTTCCCGGCGACTTAACAAAAGAATACGAGCAAGCAAAATCATCATACAAAAATTGCTAGGATTTGTTTTCCTTCTTATTTCGCAAAATTGCTTTCCAGTTTTATAACGTCGTCACCATGATCTCCCACAAAGTTTACATTTTTCCCTCTACCAACACATACGTCAGGGCTAGATCTCCACACGTTGTATAGGCCAGGTTGGTTAAAATGAACAAGCATCTACGTCCTGAACTGCTTGGATAACAATAATGTAACACAGAATGCACGAAATTACACTTTGTCATAACAGGTGAATTTTTGTCATTGACGAAAAAATGAATAAGATTTTGACGAAGGTTTTTTTCAGGTTCAGTCTGTCAGTGACTATGTCAAAAACAATATCGCGCAAAAGTCTGTCAATGACAATGACAAATCTCAACACTGCTCCCAAGTATTTACCATACAATCGAACTGAATAGTTTGAATCCTCAGTAAGATTCTCATCTTTATAATAATTCCCATCAATTTGTTTTCTTTTCCTGATTTTAACTAACCACTCCATGGAGGTTAAAATCCAAAAAAAAACTATTCTATTCTACAAAAGGAGATTTGCTGAGAACCCATGGGTACAGTTCCAGTTCCAGGTTAAGGTGAAAAAGATATTCAAAATTGTTAGATTAGACCAGGGATGAGATCTCTGCTGAATTGCCCAATACATTCCTAATGAATCGACATTTACAAAATTGTTAGATTAGACCAGGGATGAGATCTCTGCTGAATTGCCCAATTCATTCCTAATGAATCGACTTTCCACCGATTATTTCAGAAAACTTTCGCAAGAACAACGAGAAATCCCAGACGCTCTCATCGCATTCAACCTTAAAGTATCTGAAATGCTCGGTCTCACCCAAAGGCACGTTGGTGAATGCTTCGTGCGATTGGACAGTATTCCGGTCATAAGCTCGGAACGTGAAATCCAAAGCATCGAGGTGCAACAGTTGTTCATAACTCTACCGGAAAATATAGGTATGTAAATAAATATGTCTATGTTTGTTTTTCTTCAACGACATTTGTTGCATTTCTTGCCCTTGTTTAGGTTCTGACTGCATCCCGGTTCTCGAATACCGACAAAGTGACAAAGAAGCAGTTCAATTTTTCAAAAAGCTCAAACAGAAACTTGGCAGGGCTGCCTACACTGGCAGTGTGTTAAGCATTTACTAACACTGCCAAATGTTTGTCGGATATTTTAATGCATTTACTTTCACAATTACAACGATAATGATAACTACTATTCATAGTTACATTTAAGATCCGGTTACTCAAATTCGCAAAAACGGCAAAGTGAAACTTTACTCAAATATTTGAGCGAAATTTCTTCATCATATATACTTGTAATTTACTCATAATTGAGTCAGAATTTACCCAGTCTATGAGTTTTCACGAATCTGATTAAATTGAGCTCAAATATGAGTTAGAGTCAACGGCCGTGTAGAAATGCATAGTGATATTTTTTTTTCTAATAACGTTGATCTTTTATTTTCATGCAAATCCGAAATTCCTTGCTTCCAGTCCAAACAGTAAGTTATGTCATCGAATTAAAAACGAATCCTTTTATATGCTTCTATTAACACACATTTCATGTACGTGTTTATTGCAACGATGGCATTAAAATGATTACAACCACAATAAATAAATAAATTAAATGAGTACTAGCGCAGCCGAGCTCCGGCACTTAATTTTACACACCTAGCTTATAAATTATCGTACACTGTGGATCGAGAAAGTAGTACACTGTCGGCCGTCGGTTTTAAATTCAAACCACGCATTTTTTTTTCGCTTCTTATCGTAATTCATAATCGATTCGAGTATACGGTGGACGATCGATCGAAGTAGACTGCGAGTGTGCAATTATTTTTTCGCCACATCCAGGATCCGTTTCGATCTAGTCATCACGTTCACGACTTTCGTTACTGCTGCTGCTACTGTTGTTGACGCCATCTGTGGAGTGGTCGATTCCATTGTCGGCAACTTGAACACCGTCATAGTCTTCATCGTTGGAATGCAGTCGGAATACCTTTTTGTGTTGAGATTGCGGAACGTACATATTAAGGATCCTGCGTAGTAAACGAAAAATATGTTATTACAATGAATTAGGTACTTACGTTTTTTTATTAGACAATTTAATGTATCATTTCTCCATGGCAGAAAAAAGAACTCATAAGGTGGGTCAAGTTTGTAAAACTTAGTATATGAGTCGATCCTGGGCAATTTAAAAAAAAAATCATTGGGCCCATTTTTGAGTTAGGCCCATTTAAAGTCCTATATGCTAAAATCTCAAGGAAAACAATTAAATCTCTTAACAAATGCTTCTTTTACGTGTAACAGGACATGCAACATCGGTTGTTAAGTGTTTTAAATACGAAAAAAAAATATTTAATGGTTACAATGTTTTAATAATCCATACACACTTAATTTTTTTCGCCGAGATTCCAACAGCCGAGTAGTTCTGCAATTTATTTTGCTGAGATTCAGTAAAACAATTGCCGAGACTCAGCTAACAAATAACATTTTGCTGAGATATCAGGTATATCGAGGTAATCGGCTGTTGGAGATTCTACCGAGCTAGATTAAGTGTGTAGGGCTGAAGTAAACAAATTTGGTGCGGTTCTAGAGAGCTTACTTTATCAATGCTAATCCCAATAGGCGGTACACTTTTCTTATAATGCACAGTAGGCATTGACTTCCACTTCATCATATACCATAATAGTTTCTCCTGTGGGTTGCAACACGTTTTACTTTCTGTATAAATTTAAATAAGATCATGGATAATCAACAGCAAAAACGTAAGACCAATTTCTGGTGCAGTACAGAAAGTGATTTTGGATATTTAAGTGATATCCATGTTCGTGGAGAGAGTAACCCTCAATATTTGCAATGTGTCGAATTTCCTGCACCCTTGCTGCGGAAAGTAGCAGTAAGGTAGTAGTCGTGCATACATACAAATATGATTATTCTATTGCCACGGATACACTTGGATGACAAGCTATGAGCATGAGCATTAAAGACTGGAACGCGCAAAAATTGGTCGACAAAAAAATCCTTTCTTTCAGTCAAAATTCATATCACAAAAATCTTCTTATTTTCTTTTGGTAGTTAAATGCATATATTTAAAGGAAAAAATGTTCGTTTATTCTTTTGGTTTGCCAAATCCGAACTGCCGTATCTTCCGCTTAAACCCTTCCATTAAATTTTGCACAGTGGTCTCATCGACCTTATTTGCCGCCGAACGCCACCCACATTAGATCCGCTTGCGTTGCGTTGACTTTAATTTGACAGTTAGACAATAGATTTAGCTGTAATTTAACCGCAACGCGTCCGATCCGGATCTAATGTGCGTGGGCCATGGATTTATTAGTTTTTTTGAGATTCCGTTTGACCAAGGCCCAATACCGTTCGATAGGACGGAGTTCTGGGCTGTTGGGAGGGTTGTGGTTTTTGGGTACCACAACCACGTTATTCGCATCGATTGCCATTTCCCCAAAGTGGCAGCTCGCAAAGTCCGGCCAGAACAGCACAGGTCTATTATGTTGCTTTAGGAATGGTAGAAGCCGCTTTTCCAGGCACTCCTGGACGAAGATCTCTTGATTGATGGTTCCCGTAGTAATGAAAATGCCGCTTTTTAGACCACACGTGCAGACGAGATATTTTTTCGGGAACTTCGATAGTTTGATGGTTTTATAAATTTAAGCCACCTTCCCTGTCCCGCAAGCTGCTTGAAATCAGCGCGAGCAAAATTTGGACACGCTGCTTATCTTGTTTGCACGTCATTTTAAAAACTGCGCGGCTCAGATAAGATTTGGAAAAAAATCTTCCTGGAAAAATTCCTCAAAAAGCAAAGGTAGGTCGTTCGAAAACGAGCAATTTGAACAGTAAAGTAATGTGCATGTGTGACTCTTGTCGAACGTAAATCGGACGAGAAAAGAAGCACGTCTGTACTGCTTCAGAACGTTATGATAGAAACGAGTTCTCCTCCAAAAGCATCAGATGCAGCTATGTCAAAGTTTCTAGCAGAAAGAGCAATAACCTCAGTTAAATAGTAACTTATGCGTTTTGTATCTTAAATTTGATTCAAACAGGATCTGAAAATATTCATGTATCCAATCGTCACGGAAAACCGTCAGTTTTTCGAAAAGTAAACTCTACTATGCTTTTAAAATAACGGAATCACATGCGGACGGAAGATATTTTCAAAGTGGAGACGGAGAGCAATTTAAGTTTGCGGAAAACTTTGGGTAATATGTTTTGTGAATTTTTCGAATCTCTTGATTTTTTTCATTGTTCTCTGCCGTAACGAAAATTCCAAATCATTCCGCTAATTGTTTTAACGATAGCGGCGTAAAACACCTTCATATATTGACGTTGGCTCCTAATCTGCCCGAAAAATATGAACATATTTTTCTAACGTTCTTTTGAAATTAAATCAACTCGAATTAACTATTGCCGAAGATTTGAAAATAATCAATGTGATTATTGGAATAATGGCACATTATTTAACTCACCCGTGCCCTTATTATAAAATAGTAAAGGCAAATCTTGCGTTGCATGGAGTGCCATGAATATACAAGAAAATTACAAGAACGATTCAGAACCACGTAAGACATTAACAGCGAATGTAGGGATTTACAGGTCGTGCTTTTCACAGTCTCCTCGAAGCTGTTTAATTATGTTGATGTAAGTTTTCCAATTATTGTCCATTATAGACAGACTTTTACAGCAAAATCTAAATAAACATGTGCATTTTCTGGCCTTGGTTGAAACATACAGCAATAAAATATTATCTTTACATGGCAGTCAAAAATTCAATTGAAATTGATTTAATTTTCAACGATCAACGATATTAATTTACATGAACGTGTAAATTTTCAGCATTAATTCATTGAATTTTTAAATGTGCAATTTTATACTTAAAAACCTGCTCCAGTTGGTAGTTGAAAATTACAAAATATTTTTATCTGTGTAATACTACGATTTTGTTGTTATCTATAGGTCCTGAAGCATTTCCAAAATATATATCAAATGTGCTTCTCATTCGATCTTGATTTGAAAAAGAGATCGAAAGCTTTATTGAATCCTGGGAAGGTTTACAGCTACCCAAAACGTCAAAATATCATATCATGAGCCGGCAAGAACATTTTCACTAAAAAAATTCTGATCTTTTGGAAAAAAAAAATATTTTAGGAACTGGAAAATCGCGAAATACATTCGAAAAGTTCCATATATTATCAACATTAAAAAAAATATGCCTATCTCTACATCTTGAAAACGGTACCACTTAGAAATATGTTGTGCAATTGCTTTTTTATTCTAAATTTGATGTTCATTCATTATATTTTTTTTATTCTAAATTTGATGTTCTTGAAAAATGACCATGTTTTGGAGATTTTTGCCAAAAACTACAGTTTTTCAAAAAATCTTAATTTTTTGTCCATTATGACCTATATACCCGAGCAGGAGAAAATATCTTATGACTACCTAATTCTGACCTGATAACAAAATGTCCATGACGTAACCCGAGTAGGAAAACATAACATATTAATATCAAATTCAGGTATGAAAATAGCATAACTGGCTACCTAAATATGGTATTAGTGAGTCTGACATGAGAGGTAAAATACCAAAAATAAAACCTCAAAAATATTCTACGAATATCGAACTAATATTTAATTTAGTTATTACAATAAAAAAAAAACGGATAACAGACGCTTTTTTAGATGCCAGAATACCATAGTTTGGTATTTTGAAGGTCTTCTAATACCAATTCAATAACTCTTTTAGGTGTTATTGTCTAAAAACTGAACGGATAAATTTTGTTATTTTGGTATTCATTTGATATTTTACAAAATATTTCGATAACTGAATAATATCAAAACAAGGTTTTATACCACAAGCATACCAAAATCTGGGTTCATACCACATTAAGATATACATTTTTTTTTTATCGATTAGCTATCGGTTCCTGCTCGGGAAGAGGTAAAATACCAAAGAATAATACCAAAAATTACATGCGAAACACTTTGTAAGTATCAAAAATTGGTATTTGGATACCAAAGAATACCTGTGTGGTATTGTTTTGGTATTTCATTATAAATGGCATTAGTACCGTCTCAATGACGCGTTCATCTAGATACAATTGATAAATAGCAGATTTTTAGCGATGGGCCCAATCTTAGATCCACAATAGATGGCGTTGTTTATCCCCTAGAACATATCAAAATATAAAAAATATACAAAATATCCATAGACCCTTTTCAAAAATAAGGCTTTATTCAAAATTGTGATAGAAAATTGCATTTTTGAAAAAAAGGGAAAGTTTCTGAAAATTTCAATAAAAAATACAAGAATAAATAGATTAGCGAATTAGTATGAAACCACTATTTCTTTTCTCAAATCCGATCAAGCCCTGTCCACAACCGTGTATATTGCAACAAAGCAAGTTAGCAATAGGGGTACCTGGGGTAACAAGCACGCTTCCTTCGTTTTAAACCAAAAATACATTTTTACAACAAAATAGTTACCCTACGAGTTATGTACGATTGCTTTGGATACCGTATCAATTTGGCATATCTATGTTATCAGACAATACAAATAAAAACAGAAACCAGTGTGCATTGGATAAATATAGTGCAATTATGTCCTCCGCATTGTAAAGATTTTTTTAGCGATTCAAACAATATTAAGCGTCGGTAAAAGATATTACCCATTTGATTGAGAACAGAGTTACATCTCCCTGATAAAATACTGGTAAGTTTTAATACTTATTTCTATTTTATGATCAAAAACAGTTTCTTTATAAATACATTTGGGGCAAAATGATCCTTTAGTGAACAAGCTTTGTATACGTTCCATTATTTCTTCAGAAATGGTCCGCAACGTTCCGAAGTCTGTTAAGCGGTCATGGACCTTTGGACAATTATGATCCAAACTGGAGGCTGTCTAAAATGAAGACGTTCTCCTGCCTCAATTGGTCATCATCATTTATAAGACGACAAGGAGAGTCATATTGCTCCATTGTTGGGGTGCATTTTGCCTCATCATTATGGAGCATCTTACCCCA